TAGTTAAATTAACTGTTTGCAGATAACATAATCTCATATATAGAAAAGCCTAAAAGTCCACAAAAGAACTGTTAGAACTAATAAATAAATTCAGCAAAATAGCAGGACATAAAATCAACACAAAAATCAGCTGTATTTCTATACACCAACAATGAATAATACAAAAAGGAAATTAAGAAAACAATTTCATTTACAATAGCACCAAAAAGAACAAAATACTTAGGAATTAACCAAGGAGGTTAACTTAACCACTGAAAACTACAAAACATTGCTGCAAGAAATTTAAAACAACAAAAATGAATGGAAAGACATCTTGTGTTCATGGATTGGAAGACTGACTATTGTTAAGATGTTAACACTACCCCCCAAAGCAGTCTACAGATTCAAGGCAATCCCAATGACTTTTTTTGCAGAAAAAGAAAATTCCATCTCAAAATTCCTATGGAATCTCAAGGGACCCCAAATAGCCAAAACAATCTTGAAAAGAACAGAGCTGGAGGACTGACTCACACTTCCCAGTTTCAAAACTTTCTAAACTGTAATTATAAAAACAGTTATGATACTGGCATAAAGATAGACCTATAAAACAACAGAATAAAATAGAGCTCAGATTCAATAAGGGCCAAGATCATTCATAGGGGAAAGAACAATCTTTTCAACAAATGGTCCTGGAAAAACTGGACATCCACATGCAAAAGAATGAAGGTGGACCCTCACCTAACACCATATACAGAAATTAACTCAAAATGAATCAAAGATCTAAATGTGAGACCTAAAACTATAAAACTCTTAGAAACCACAATGAGATACCACTTCACACCCACTACAATTACTATTATAGAAAAAACAATACAAGTGTTGTCAAGGATGTAGAGAATTGGAACCCTTGAGCTCTGCTTATGGGGATGTAAAATAGTTTGGTAACTGTGGAAAACAGTATGGCAGTTCCTCAAAAAATTAAAAATAGGTCAAGAGTGCAGATCCCCAACAGAGACCCCTCCCGAGTTCTCTGATACTCTGGCATACCAGCCAGCCACCAAAAAAAGAAAAAGAAATTAAAAATAGAATTACCGTTACGATCCAGTGATTCCACTTCTGGGTATATAGATAAAAGGACTGAAAGCAGGGACTAGAATAGATGTATTTGGACACCGTGTTCATAGCAGCATTATTTATAATAGCCAAAATGTGGAAGCAACCCATTGATGGATGAATGGACAAACAAAATGTGGTATATCTATACAACGGAATATTATTGAGCCTTAAAATGGAAGGAAATTCTGACACATGCTTCAGCATGAATGAACCTTGAAGACCTTGAATGAACTTATACTAAGTGAAAGCCAGCCACAAAAGGACAAATAATATATGATTCTAATCATATGAGATACTTAAAGTCCAAACCAAAGAAACAGAAAGTAGAATGGGGGCTAGGGGAGATTGGGTAGTTGCTATTTAATGGATAAGGAGTCTCAGTTTGGGAAGATAAAGAATTATGGAGATGGTTGGTGGTGATGGTTGCACAATAAGGTGAATGTGCTTAATGCCACTGAACACTTAAAAATGGTTAAAATGGGGCTGGCTGGTTAGCTCCGTTGGTTAGAGTGTGGTGTTATAACATCAAGATCAAGGGTTCGGATCCCCATACTGACCAGCAGCCAAAAAAAAAAAGTGGGTTAAAATGGTATATTTTTATGTTATGCAGATTTTACCACAATTAAAAAAATTTTTTTTTAAAAAAAGGACAGAGAAAGATGCTCTCTTTGCCAGTAAATATACTAAAAGGACATAGAAGAGATTCTCACTGGCCATATTTGTGATAATTTGAGAATCAAAAAAATAACGACTATTGATTGAAATAGATTGAATCTATGAAAACTCATGATCCCAAAGTGACAAAAGGCCAGCTATTGTCCCAATTTCAAACATCGCTAATTGAAGTGAAAGAATTAAATTTATTCTGTCTTTACAAGAGGAAACATTTCAAAATTACCAAATGATTCCAGTTAAGTCCTACTTTACAGAAGAAAACAAACTAATAAATGTAGAACAAATGGTGGAATTGGAAAACCATTATTTTGAAACCCCTAATGAAATTTTTGATTGAGGAAAAATTAGAATTTGGTGTTAAAACCAGTTGGCAAGTGGCTGGTAGGGAACTGGATGTTTGGATAGGTACACAGTAACATCACACAAGTTACTTTCTGATCACAAGGGAAAAAGGTAAATTTAAATAGAGAGATCAGTCAGGCTTTCACTACCTTAAAGGGTCAGGCCTAGTATCACCAAATGTGTAAAGCCAGATGTGTCTCCTGATATGATGTAAGATGAAGCTTACTGTAGGCATTCTTACCAAAATCCAATTAAGATTTAAGATCTAACTCTGGACTGGCTGGTTAGCTCAGCTGGTTAGAGCGCAGCCTTGTAAGACCAAGGTCAAGGGTTCAGATCCCCATACAGGCCAGCCACCAAAAACATCTAACTCTAATTTTGTGGTACTACAAGAGACAAAAAGATCAAACTAAATTATACCATGAGAAAGCAATCTGATAAATCCAGAAGGAACATTCTACAAGATAAAAGTTAGAATCATGAAAAACTGAATGCCAGTCATGAAAAAAAAAAAGCTATTTTTTTGGGGGGGGAAGCTGGCCAATATGGGGATCTGAACCCTTGACCTTGGACATTACAAGGCTGTGCTCTAACCAACTGAGCTAACCGGCCAGCTCCCCCCAAAAGCTATTCTAATTTCAAAGAAACTTAAGGGACATAATAACCACATGCACTGCACGGCCTTAAATTGGGTTTGGGTTTAAACATACCAGCTGTAAAGGACATTTTAGGGATAATTAGGAGAATGTGAACAAGGATTGCATCTATGATAATATAAAGAAATAAATTATTGCTAATTTTGATAGGTTTGATAACATCAGAGGAAAATGGCTCTGGAGGAAATGTTCTTTTTGTTAAAACCCTGGAAGAGCTGGGAAGAGCTGTCTGTTTTACTCACTGCTACATGCTCAGCAAGTAGCATAAGGTAGGCACGTATCAGGCACCAGATAAACGACTACTGGACAGCTACGTCTGGGTTGCTCAGCCTCTCTTCCCTCCTTCTGAGTAATGATCCTTTCATTTTCCTGGTCCTTCAAAGGCCAACTTCTCTAGAGTTGTCTAAACACACTTCGCCATTACCTTGCCTCATTATTCCCCAATTTGCCCTGGCCCCCACCTCTCCACAGAACCAGCTTTCTTTCATAAAGCTCACCAAAGATCTCCATCTCACGAAGTCCAAGCAACATTTTCCAGACTCCTTCTTGCTTGACCTCTCAGGAACTTCTGAGACTACGGGCCACACTTCTGGAAATGTGTCCTGCCCCTGGCCTCCCTAACACACGGTGACATACATCCCGGGCTTTTCTTCTTCCCTTCTCTCTGGCCTCGTCCTTCTCAGTCTCTTTTGCAGGTTTCCCTTACTCTACTTGCTCTACTCCCGTGCCCATGAATCCATTTCTGTTTATATTCCAACTGTCCTTTTAACCTATAGCTCCAGGGAACATAACTCCTGAATTCTTCAGCTGCCTACTGCTCGGATCCATTTGGATAGCCACAGGCACTTTACACGGACTGTGTCCAAGATTATCCTTGCTCCCCATCCCTTCCCCTCCCCCGCCAGATCTATTAATCCTGTTCCCTGTCATCCTTTGTTCTCTCTCAGAAAACACCACTATCAAAACATTAAAAAGAAAGAAAGAAAATGCTACTATTTTCACCCAATGGTGCAAGTGAGAAATCTGTTAAGTTATCCTGGATGCCCCCCTCACCCCTTAGAGACCAGTTCTTGTGGTCTCTACCTCCAGAACTTCTCCAGAACTTCTCCAGAACCTGCCCGGTTCTTCCAGCTCCACTCTCACTCCTCCAGCTGGGCCACCACGTTAACCCTCACCTGGATCTTTCTAACTACTGCTTCCGATTCAGCCCACATCTGCCAGGGCAGGGCATTCTTTAAAAAATGCAAATCTAATTTTGATACACCATGTTTAAACTCATCAAGGCTTCCTACTGCTCAGGAACTGAAGCTCTGAATGACCTCAATGGCGTTCCTGCCTCCCCGGCACTTGGGCCACTCTCCCATCCCTCTCTTGGCCCTGGAGTCTAGGCCACCTTGCAGTTCCCACAGGAGGCGTATATACTGTCTCTGCTCTCAGCACCTGGGAACTCTTCACCTGACCAGTTCTCCAGTCCCAGACCAAGTCTGCAACTGTCTTCCCCACCTCCTAACTCAAGTCAAACACTGGCTACTTGCTCCCAGGCGCCCCCCCCCCCGTACTGCTCCTTCACGGCACTGTGTACACTTCCAATTATTCAGCTAATTATTTATTAATAAAACGGTATAATATCTTGTCTAATGGTAAACCCACCATTGTTATTCCCAGGGTCCGGCAAAGGCCTGCCACTTAGTAGGGCTCCAATAAATATTTAAGCTTGTTCTCCCGGTCGTTTTATCGCTAACTTCCTAACTTTGTCTTTGCTTCCCTGAGTACCCAAGTCCCTTTCGGGAAGTTGCCTGGAACCTTTTCACGCCTAGCGCCCAACACCAACTCTCAGGCTCGGTCAGTGGTAACCGAATAAACGACTTATGATTCACATCCTGAATCTTCCACACCTCCCTTTCCTGACCCCGTCCCTCAGATTTCTAATCTGGCCCCCTCCCCATTTCTGCACCCCTCCACCTTCCCCACCCTCCACCTCCCCCACCCTCCACTCCCTGCCCGCTGCGCCACCCCCCAGCCTGGCCCGGCCTTGGAGGGGACCCCCGGACTCACCAGGCGAGGCTGGGGGGCCGCCGGCCCTGGGCTCAGCTCCGCAGCCTCCTGCTGCATCTCAGCCTGGGGTCGGCTGCACGCGGGAACTGTGTGGTGCTCCAGACCCGCTGCAGACCCTCGAGGGCAGAGCGGCCACCGCGGCGTCGCAGGCGCGTGTCCCGACATCACCACGCCACAATCACTGCGTTCAGCTTCTAGTCACCACGGCGCCAGGGGGCGGAGTCAGGGCCGCACCCACCCGCCCCACCCACCAGCCGCCCCACCCCACACTGCCCCAGGCGGCCCCGGGTCCTCAGCAGGTCACCGACAGGGGACCTTGGACCTTTGCCACTTATTTGGGGGTGTTGGGGGGAAGGCGGGGAGCGCCTGGCTGGTGAAGGGATGGAACCCTGGGCCTTGATGTTACCAGCTCCACGCTGTAAACCAGCTGAGCCACCAGCCAGCCCTAGTTTTTAAAGTATATGTCCGCCCCTCCGTACCTACCCCCTTCAGTCTGAGCATCTCTGTTTCACGAAAGTGGGGCCGGGGGACACCGAGATCTCACACTCCAGCCAGGCCTCGTGGACCTCGGAGAAGAGACATGCGGGGCAGAGGCTAGAGAGAGCGGCAGGGCCGGCGGGGCCTCTGCTGACAGGAAGCCTCCACCACCACCCTGCAGCCCGTGGCTCTCGCCCTGCGCTTGCAGAGGGCCGGATCTGTTCTGCTACCGGGACACCTCTGTCCCTAGTCTGTACAAACTGAAGACTGGGAGCTCCACGGCACAATTTATCCCACAATATTTACTCAGTACCTACTGTGTGTTGGGCTCTGTTTTTTGGAACTAGGGATACGATGGTAAACAAGACAGAACAAAGTCCTTGCTCTCAAGGAATTTCAATCCTAACTGGGCAGACAAGAAAGGAATAATAAAGTCAATAATCGGTATAATTTTAGATGGTGGTGAGTGCTATGGAGAAAACAAAACAGGAAAGAGTGAGCTGAGAGCTAAATGCCTGAAGGGAGCCAGCCATAGGAGGACCAGAAGGCTCTAAGGCAAGAAAGAGCTTGACGCTTCTAGAAGGAAAATAGGAAGGTCAGGCCACCACCGTGAAGCAGGCCAGAGCACAGTGGCATGACACAAGGACAAAGAGACGGGCAGGGTCTTGAAGACCATGCGATGTAGTTCGGATTTTATTCAAAGTGTGATGGGAAACTCCTGAAGGGTTTCAAGCAGGAAATTGATATGATCTGTGTTTTAATAATCATTTGGCTCCTTTGAGATTTATGGCTTCTAGGGGCAAGATGGAAGCGGGGATGCCTGTTAGAAAGCTGAAGGAGCTCTCCAAGAAGGGACACCAGTGTTTGGTGCTGGGTGGTGGTGGTGATTAGAGAATATTTTGGAATTAAAAAGGACAGGTGATGGGCCTGTGGCTCACTTGGAAGAGTGTGGTGCTGATAACATCAAGGCCGTGGGTTCAGATCCCTATATAGGGATGGATGGTTAGCTCACTTGCAAGAGCATGGTGCTGACAACACCAAGTCAAGGGTTAAGATCCCCTTACCAGTCATCTTTAAAAAAAAAAAAAGGCAGTTGGAGGCTGGCCAGTTAGCTCAGTTGATTAGAGCTTAGCCTTGTAATAACAAGGTGAAGTGTTCTGATCCCCATACTGGCCAGCTGCCAAAAAAAAGAAAAAAAGAAAAGATAGGAGACTTCATAATGGATCAGAAGGGACTAGGGAGGAAAAGAGAAATCAAAGATGGCTCCTAGGGCTGGGCAGTTAGCCCCGTTGGCTAGAGTGTGATGCTGATAACATCAAGGTCCAAGTCTGATCCCTGTACCAGCCAGCCAACAAAAAAAGAAACTGCCAAAGATGGCTCCTAGATTATTGACTAGATCCACTGGGTGATGACAGTGCCAATTGGTGATATGCAAAGATGGGAAAAAGAACAGATTTTGTTGGAGTGAGTAGGACTGAAGCCATGTTGGGATCTAGCATGGCATGGGCTCTAAAAAATTTTAAAAGGACATAGTTTTTTTCTTGACATACATTCTCTGAGTTCCCTCTTTTCCCATGATTATTTGATATTTTGAACCTTGGTTATGGGGGAAGATGACATTATTTACATGAATGCAAAGTTGTTTTCCAGACAGCCTGGAGCTGCAGTCTTGCATGTACTACCCAGACACTGGGAAACCAAGGAAGACATCAATAAAGCTATGCTGATTCCACCCCTGCAGCAGGACCCTGAGATAACAGCAAGGACAGGAGCAGAAACCAGACAAGTCTTGGTGAGACTTTGGGATTTTTTTTTTTTTTTTTAAAGATGACCGGTAAGGGGATCTCAATCCTTGACTTGGTGTTGTCAGCACCACGCTCACCCAATGAGCCAACCGGCCATCCCTATATAGGATCCGAACCCGTGGCCTTGGTGTTATCAGCACCACACTCTCCCGAGTGAGCCACAGGCCGGCCCATCCCTTGGTCCCCTCTTTAAAAACCCCTCAATAGGAACAGCGAAGTTACCCAAAGTGACTGAGAAGTAACAGAGAGGTAGGGGAAAGTCAGGAGGCTGTATTTCAGGAAGCCAAGAGAAGCAAGTATTTAAAGGAGGGACTTTTCAAATGTTGCTGAGATCAGAAAAAGGTAAGTGACTACTGGACTGGACAAGATGGAGGTCATTAGTGACTTTGACAAAAGAGTTCCAGCAGGGATAGAAGGCTGATTGGAGTGGGTTGATGAGGTGCAAACACTGAGACGCTGTCTGTAAACAACTCTCTGAAAGAGCTTTTGCTATGAGGAAGAGCAGAGAAATGAGGTGGTACTTGGAAGGGGGTTAAGGGCAGGCCTATCATAGGCTGATGGGGATCCACCAGAGGAGGGGAGGGACGGCTCAATCATAGGAGCAAAATCATTCATAAGAAAGGACAGAACACAAATAGACAAGTGGGCCTTTGGTGAGAGCAGGGACATTTGCTCTATCAAACAAGGGGGTTAAGAAGTGTCTTATGTATCTTAGTGTCTCCAGCTGCTGGCATGGGGTGGGGCGTGAGAAATGGTGGCTACGATTCTACGGCTAACACCTGCTCCCAGTGCCGGACTCACCTCCTCCTGGGGCTGTCTCTGACTCCCATCTGGTGTCTCTTCAATTTCCCACATGTTTCCTAGTGTTTCTCCCAACATGGCATTTAGAAAATATTTGTGGAATGAATTTTTTTTTTTTTTTATAAGATGACCGGTAAAGGGATCTTAACCCTTGACTTGGTGTTGTCAGCACCACACGCTCCTAAGTGAGCCACAGGCCGGCCCTTGGAATGAATCCTATTTAACACACACAGGAGATCAGTTTTTAATAACCCCCACCTCTATAAGATAAAATTATTTTCATAATTCAAAATTCATATTTTCAAATGATCATGAAATGAAACAAATAATAATAATGGCCAGAAAAAGAAATGCAGAAGTGAAAAATTCATTTTACAAAAATAAAATAAAATGCAAAAGACCGGTGTTATAACACCAAGGTCAAGGGTTTGGATCCCCCTACCAGCCAGCCACTAAAAAATAAAATAAAGTAAATAAATACATAAAATTAATGTTACAGTTCCAAAAAGTAAAAAAAAAAAGGACGCTGTTTATTTCAGTCATTTTTATATATACCTAAACTGTTTGAATTTTGGTCCCTTAATTACAGTCTGAATTTTAATAAAACCAAAACATCTGGAAAAGGTACGATTTAGGCAACTGCTAAATTGCACCACTGATATAACATTTATTTTCTTTATTCATCTTTTATTTTAAAACATTTAACAGTTTTGAAGGAATAAATTTTAATTTTAAAGGTAAATTTTTATTTAAATTCAGTAAAATATTTTATATACAAACTAAAATTTGCGTTTACTAAAAATATTTTGCCTCTCAGTTTACACTCTGTTTCACTGTTTTAAATTTTCACACAAAACTCCAACTAGTTATATGGAATGACAGAACTGAACTCAGTCAAGTTCTGTTTGTTTTTTTGGAAATTCTTTGGCAGCTGGCTGGTGCAAGGATCTGGACCCTTGACCTTGACCTTGTTGTTATTACACCCTGCTCTAGCCAACTGAACTAACCAGCCAGCCCCAAGCTGGTTTTTTGTCTTTATAAT